GTGGCGATGACTAGCTGTCTTCCCTCTAGTCTTACACTGCTAAATTAGGGACGGCTAGTGCAGATAGCCCTCGTGTAGCTTTGTGCGAAATTCGTAACAAACTAAGGCTTATATAAAAGTACTGTTGACTAATACTAAATATAACTTTTACATGAAATGGCAGTTATTATAATATGCACTTTTCACGTTCATATTGTAAAATCCAGAGAACAACATTTCGTCACGTGCTTTGCTTATCATCCTATGATTTGTGAAACGTGAAATACATCTTCGACTAGGATTGGTTAAAAGTTTTACAACTGAGGTTTAACAAGCCCAAGCACTGTTTTATAAAGAATACAGTCTAGAAAAAGGTTTAGATCCCAATCACAGATGGCAGGACCAGCACTAAAGTGCAAGGAAAAAATGTTTTAAAATATTGAAAAAAATGCTTTTCTTAGAGGGTACTTATTTATAGTCTCAAATGTATTTTTGGATTTTTTTTTAATTTCCCTTTAAACTTCATTAAATAATATAATTTTATACGAATAGTTGAATGTTATGCTACTATTTACAAAAATATAATCTGAAATCCAATAAAAGATAAGTTCTCTATCATTTTTTCAATTCACAAATGTGGTACGACTAAATGGACCCGGTAGGTAAGGGGTTAAGAAATACTTGCTTACTTACACTCGCTTTACTCTATCATTTGCTTATAACCAATCAAAGGCTCAAAATTATTCCCACATGGATTTCTCAGCCTAAATTATTTTTTTGTCTCGAATCTCAGAAAGAAGGGGTAAGTGAAAATGTTGTTCGAGGAACAATATTTTTTTAGACATGCATACAATTTAGTTAGTAAGCCTGATAAATTATAATGAAATTGTATGATATTTATAGAGTAATGTATATAATTTTTTGTTATGTCAAAATGCATATATAAAACGAAAAAAGGTATTTTGGTTTACATCCTCTACATTTGAAATTCGGCAAGGCTTAACATGCAACGTACGGCAAGTGAGTACAAACTTCTTTACGATCATAAATAGTAGAGATTATTGTTTTCTATATTTCTTTATTTACTGTTCTATGTTTTAAGAAAAATAACTGAAATTTAAAAACTTATTTGCAAATAGTAATATATATATGCAATGTATTACATCTGAAATATGACTGTATTTTACACAGTACTGGTCCACAGATCAAAGCCAAGACAAATCACTTTGTAAAGGCCAGTTTTATATTATTGAATACGGTAACATGAATGCATGTGCATCGCATCATTGCAACTTATGCTCGTCTGACATGGCTGAAAAGTCAATAAAATAATAAATATATATAGATGTATAATTTTATTAGACTTAAGCTATTTAGACTAAACATTTGTGGTTTCTTGTTGTAATTTGTAGTCATTCTAGAATGAAAAAAAAAGTATGATTTGTATCTATTTTCTAATTTTTTATTGTGGTTACGAGATCGATCAAATTTACCAAACCCATACAGAGATTAATTACTGAAAATAACAGATAAAATATAACCTTTTTCGTGACAAATGTTTGATAATTTTCTGATGCATAAAAGTATTTTTAATCTTGAAATGAAATTACTTTGCATGATAGATAGGTAAGATGTGAAAAGAAAAAAAGTCATAAGAGAAACACTGATTTACAAACCTTAAGACTTAATAAAAAAAAAGGAGATATTTTGCATATGAAAGCATTGTAATCAAATTGACCAAACCCATACAGAGATACAACAGTGTAAATAACAGATAAGATATAAAGTTCCTCTAAAAAAGTTTTATAATTACCTAGAGGTTATTAGGAGGTTATAGAGATTTTGTATGTGAAATTTGACAATTTTCTGATGCATAAAAGTATTTTTAATCTTGAAATCAAAATTACTTTACATATTGGATAATCAACATTCAAACAGAAAAAAGGCACGAGCAAGTCATTACTTAAAAAATCTTAAAACTTAATAATAATAAAAAAATGATATTTTGTATACAAAAGCCTTGTAATGTTTACCGATAATCTGCCAAATTTTGTTAGGATACACATACTGTATTAAAAATTAATAGTATATAAACTATACACCTAGAA